TTTCTGTGGATTCCAGCAAACAGCCTGTGACTTTACTGTGGCTCTTTCCCCCAGCGGGTCTTTGTCTCTTGCACTACAAGATGGCAGAACCGGCTCTCTATCAGAGGGTTTGCCTCGGTTTGTTAGCTTCCTACCTCATAAAGGTTTAGAACTCAACAAATGTCGTGAAGGGAAAACCAGAGGTATAAGAAATCCCGCCAGCGGCTGTCACTCTAGCCCTAAGCAATGACTAAAAGCCCCCCTTTTTCTCTCTTCCCACACAGTGGCCTTGCGCTTTGGCCGAGCCTGGGTTCTTAGCAGCCAGCCAGTTTCCAGTATCTTGGAAGGCTTCCTGGGGAAAAAAGGAAGTTTTCTTACAGAGGATAAACTCACTCTCCCCTCTGGAATATCAGCTTTGCTAGCTCTTGTTGATTCTGCAACTTCTGATCTCTCAAAATAGATCAATTTTTTATTTCATCTGGCCCTTCTTGTTGGTCTTGGTAGGAGCTTTGGTCTCCTATGAGCTGCTCCATCCTACTGTCTGTCTCTCATTTTTTACTTATTTCACTTTCTTGGTCTATCTCTCTATATTAGAATGTCATTTTTGGGACGTCTGGGTGGCATGGCCAGTTGTGTCCGACTTTGGCTCAGGTCGTGATCTCACAGTTTGTGAGTTCAAGTCCTATGTCAGGCTCTGTGCTGAAAGCTCAGATCTTGGAGCCTGTTTTGGATTCTGTGTCTCCCTCTGCCTCTCTTTCTTTCTCTCTCAGAAGTAGTAAATGAATAAACTTTTAAAAAGGTCATTTTCATGAGATCTTATATTGATCTCCATTTTCAGTGGCTATTGTTGTGCCTGTCACAATGTGGGCCCTTAGTATACATTTGTTGAATAAATATGTGTGTGTATATATATATGCTATCCAACTACCTGTAATCCATAGACTAATTATTAACAAATGATGGCATTACTTTGAGATAAGCATATGTATAATACTAGCTACAAGCAAACCTGAAATTTATACTAGGGCATCTGACAAGGCTCCCCATATAGAGGCTGTGATCCTTCAAAACAATTGAAAATGTGCAGTGAGAAAACGTATTTAATTTCCATTTGCAGAAAGTGTATGAAAAAACATTAATAAGCAGTGGTCATAAACATGAGGCTCAAATCGATGATCACAAGTCCCAGAATTCCTAATTACAGTCATTGGCTTGCAATGCTTCATTAAGCTGTATTCCATAAAATTCCATGGAGCTTGCTCCAGAGAAAGTAAGAGCAGGGATTGATGGTTGGGTTTTTCATCTAACCAGTATTGAGGAAGCCAGCCAAAAGTGTTGGATGGATATATATATAGATAGACAGATAGATGGATAGATAGATAGATAGATAGATAGACTTACAGGTATCAATAGATATCAATATCCTGCTGAAGATTTAACTGTCATTATCAGGGGCTGACATGTAGGGGAGAGAGGGAAATGCTGTTTGAAGGGTACAAGCCTTTAGTTATAAAATGAATAAGCTTTGGAGATCTAATGTATAGCCTGGTATGTCTATAGTCAATAACATTGTATTTTGTACTTGCAATTTGCTAAGAGGGTAGACCTTTAAGGGTTCTCACCACACACACAAACAAAAAAATGTAACTATATGAGTTATGGATTTCTTAATTAATCTGATTCTGATAATCATTTCATGAAGTATATGTAAATCATTACATTGTACACTTTGTGTATATAAATTTTATTTGTCAATTATACCTCAATAAAACTGAAGAGCAAAACCAAAAACAAGTGGCGTCATTCCCCTGACATTTGCCTGGCCAGTGACTGTGCTAACGCTCCTCGCCACCCCCACCATTTACAGTCTCAGCTGAGTGGGCCTCTGGGAAATACAGTCCATCAAACACATGCCTGTTCAAATCTACCGGTCTGTTCTAGATTTTTCAAAAGGTCATCTTAATATGCTGCAACTCTCTTTCAAATCTTTTCTTCCTTCTCAATGCCCTGTATTAAGTTTGTTGCTGCTTCCTGAAAATTTGAATGTAACTCTTTTCTTCTGTCTATTTCTCAACTACTATCACCACATAAATTAAAATAAGCCACCTCCTCTTTCTCTGAGCGCTTCCTTTTTCCCTCATCTCTTCTTTTTCTTTTTTATTATAACAAAATTACTGAGATATGATTCCTGTCTTTCTTTCTGACATTCATTTTACGTCGTTTAATAGCAATCCTCACTAGCATATTGTTGGCTAGCATGATTTTCACAACAAATCCTAGAATCTAGAGTAGGGGTGGAGGGGTTCTTGATGGGAGGGAGGGAAAGAGCTGTGAGGGGGAAATGCCTTGCTGGTCATTGCTAAGCAGAGGAAAGACAAGACCTTTTGAATAGTCACACACACACAAACACACACACAAACACACACACACACACACACACACACACACACAAAGTATTTACACTACTGGTTACTTAGATAGAAAGTTCATTTTACAAGTGGTCCTGACCTAAATGAACTACCAATATTTGGGGATGGATTACTTGGACAGTAAGTAATAAAGAGTGGGAGGTGGGAGTGTGGAGCATCAAGTATGTGCTTTCCAACTTTGAGACAGAACATGCCTTCCAGGAACTCTGACCAAGTTTAAAATGTCTCAAACCAAACCCATTGTCTTTCCATTATAAAAACAAAACTGAACTAAAACTCCTTTGCTTTTCTCTTCCTTGTAGTTAATGGTTTCATGATCCTCCCACTCACTCAAGAAAGGAATCAGAGAGTCATCCTAGACATAATCTCTGCTTCATGCTCACATCCATCAGTCTCCAGGTTAATTGCTGTATCTGACTCCCCATCTCTCATCTGGACCATCTTCATTGGTCTTCCAGCTCTAAAAGCCTTATAATTCATCCTCCGTAATAGTGGCTTTCAAACTGTGTTTTTTGGAACTCTAGTTGTTCTTGTTTTTTGTTCATTTTGTTTGCTTTTGGTTGTTTGGTTTGGGCTTTGTTTGTTTTGGGAATACTTACTTCCCCTTCCACTAGAATGCCTCCTTTGACTTTGCTCACGGAACATTCCCTAACTTCCCTCCTAAGGGAAAAGTGCTTCCAAGTCTGCTGTGCATACAGGCTTTGACATGTGCCTCTGTTATTTGGTATCTGACCAAAGTGATGTAATTACTTGATTTATAAATCTGTCTCTTCCGGGAGTGCATTAATTTTCTATTCTTCATATGCTTAGGTAATTGCAGAATTCTGGGTTTGATCTATATTTGAACAAAGATGGATAATACTATTAGTAACAAAGATAAGGACAGCAGCAAAATACTAGTTTGTGAATGTGTTAAATAATTTGCTTCTGAGGATACTGAGTTTGATATTTCTATGAGCCATAAAGCTGGAAATAATTAATAAGGAATACGGATGTGGAATTCAGTGGACATCCAGTCCAGAGATGCCAACTTGATTATTATCAGTATACAGATAACTAGGGCAACTCCAAATGGCAAGAGTTAATCTATTTGCCCCATAGATTCTGGTGTGGAGAGGATTTCTCTGATGTAAGAAAGACTATGTTTTGTATTCTCCTTCCCATAGACATTTACCAGCTGAAGATTGAAATTTACATTGTAGGGGCACCTGGGTGGCTCAGTCGGTTAAGCATCCAACTTCAGTTCAGGTTATGATCTCATGGTTCTTCAGTTAGAGCCCTGCACTGGGCTCTGTGCTGACAGCTCAGAGCTTGGAACCTGCTTCAGATTCTGTGTGTGTGTCTCTCTCTCTGCCCCTTCCCCTGCTGGTGCTCTGTCTGTCTTCCTCTCTTAAAAATAAAACATTTCGGCAATGCCTGGGTGGCTCAGTCGGTTAAGCGTCCGACTTCGGGTCAGGTGATGATCTCACGGTTTGTGGGTTCGAGCCCCGCATCAGGCTCTTTGCTGACAGCCAGCTCAGAGCCTGGAGCCTGTTTCAGATTCTGTGTCTCCCTTTCTCTCTGACCCTCCCCTGCTCGTGCTGTCTCTCTCTCTCTCTCTCTCTCAGAAATAAATAAAACATTTAAAAAATTATAAATAAATAAACAAACATTTCAGAAAATTAAAAAAAAAAAGAAATCTACATTGTAGAAGGTCATGAGTAAGCAACATAGATTCATAGGAGATATAATTCTCTTTTAGGATGATGAAGTTATAAACATCTTTCCATTGTATTATGGAGATTGGAAGTCATTTGAAGAGAAATGTTCAGGGTGCAACCATTGGTCAGACTTGTATTTAAATCCTGGCTCTATGAAAACCTAAGAGGCTGAGCTTGTTTAAGTCTGCTCATCTCTGTTAGTAAATAGTAAATAGGAATAGTAATGCCTAAGTTGTAAGTATATTGTTAATATTTTCAATGAGATAATATTTGTGAAAAGAACATTCTAGGGGCACCTGGGTGGCTCAGTTGGTTAAGCGTCTGACCTCAACTCAGGTCATGATCTCATGGTTTATGAGTTCGAGCCCCACATTGGGCTCCGCACTGACAGCTCAGAACCTGGAGCCTGCTTTAGATTCTATATCTCTTTCTCTCTCTGCCCCTCTGCTGCTCACAGTCTGTCTCTCTGTGTCGAAGAAAAACAAAGACATAAAAAAAGAATATTCTGGAATGCTTGCACATAGTAGATGCTTAATAAATGTCTTCAAAAAACCAATTATTGAGTTCCCCTATGCACAAAGATCCCTTTCCTGGTGGAGCTTACACTCCAATGCAGGGAGAGGAGAGAAAACAATGAACAATGAACACAATGAAGCAGTAAATTCTATGGTAGGACAAATGGCAGCATAATTCATTTGATACTAAAACTTCTGTAGGTAGCCACAAACTTCAATGCCTGCAGGGGCCAGGAAAGAAACCAAAATAAATAAGTCAGGTTGGATAAAAAAAAAAACCCAGCCCTTTTTAATTATTTTGCTTTTGAGAAAGATAAGAGTACAGACAATATGTCTCTTTTCTCTTCCCAAATCTACCTTCAGAAAATGATAGTACGATGCTCGCTTCAGTGGCACATATACTAAAATTGGAACAATACAGAGGATATGCATGGCCCCTGTGCAAGGATGAGTCAAATTCATGAAACATTCCATATTTAGAAAGAAAGAAAGAAAGAAAGAGAGGGAGGGAGGGAGGGAGGAAGAAGCAAAGAAAGAAAGAGAGATAGAGAAAGAAAGAAAGAATAATAGTACAGAGTGTCATAATAAATGGCAGTTGATACCCTTCCTATCTGAGACATGAATGGCAAGCTTCACAGGCCTTGGCATTGGCAGGTGGCACTGGGAATGCAACATTTTCACTTCTAGCCAATTGGCAGCCTTAGGAAACATACGCTCAAGGTCACCAGAACTGCCAAGTTTTCAAGAGAAGTCACAAATTTACATTCTGGGTAAAATGTCTTGATTGGAATATAGAAATGTATTCATAATTTTTTACAACTATAAAAGCTTCCCCCCTTCTCCCTTCTTCCTCCCCTCCAAAATGTGCCGGCTACATCTGGCCTGCAGGCATAATCAAGTTTTAAAGACTAAAACACCTTAAATATTACTTACGTGATTTTTTAAAATATGTTTTTTTTTGCAGTATTTTGTAAAACTTAGCGAGTGAAAGAGCATGTCTCCCCACTCTAACTATGTAGTCCCTTAACTATTATAGAAGGAATTAACATTTTGCTGAGAATCATATTGAGCCGGGGCAGAGTAACAACTGGTTATGAATAAGAAAGAGTATTCCTCCTGCACATTTGTCCCCAGATTACCTCATACCATCAGTAAACATCTTCTTTAGCTACAGTGCCCTGATTGTTCAGCTGACAAACCATATTTCTCACCCTTTCTTGCTGATAGAGATGAAATTATGACTAAGGATATGCAGAAGTTGTTGGAGAGAACTTCTGGAATGCTCCCTAAAAAATAGACTTCCTCCTTCCTCTTTTTTTTTTTTTTTTTTTAGAGGGAGAGAGTGTTCAGGTGGGGGGCAAAGGGGCAGAGGGAGAGAGAGAGAGAGACGGTGTGAGGCAAAGAATCTCAAGCAGGCTCCAGGCTCGGAATGGAGCTAGATGCAGGCCTTGATCCCATCACTCTGGGGTCATGACCTGAGCCAAATTCAAGGGTCAGAAGCTCAACCATATGAGCCACCCTGGTGCCCCCTTCTTCATTTTCCCTGTTATCAGCATGAATGTGATGTCTTGAGCTGCATCAGCCATCTTGTGATTGTAGAGTACTTTGTGCAAAGGATGGTTGAGCAGGAAAAGTGAAGGTTCCCAGGACATTAAGAAGTGTCCATACAAACCCAAGACTTTGAACTTGTTTTACATTTAGTGAAAATAAACTCTTACATTGTCTAAGCCACTTTATTTCTCTAAAAAAATGTTTATATATTCTTGAGAGAGAGTGAGGGAGGGGAAGAGAGAGGGGAAGAGAGAGGATCTGAAGGGGGTTCTGCACTCATCGCAGAGAACACTATGCAGAGCTTGAACTCAGGACACGTGAGGGCATGATCTGAGCCAAAGTCTGAAGCTTAACTGACTAAGCCACGCAGGCGATCATAAGCCCCTTTATTTCTGTTACCAAGTGCTCTAAGGCAAGTCCCAGCCAATATACTGGAGTCACTTTTTAAAATACATTTTTATGTAACCTTTAACTTAAAAGAGCAGAATTCCAGCTGAGTCAATTAGCATATGGAATCACCATTTGTCATACACCAAAACCATTAAAATTGTCTTCTTTGTCACATGCTGAAACCCTTGCAATTTCCTGTGTTTGTCAAACTCACTTTACTCATTTTGAAGCCTATTTGAGTTGGCATAAGGTTAGATTATGATAGAAATTCATTGGATTAATAGGAAATAAATTTTTAATTTTTTTTCATGTTAATTTATTTTTGAGAGAGACAGAGCACAAGTGGGGAAGAGACAGAGAGAAAGGGGGACACAGAATCCAGGCTCTGAGCTGTCAGCATGGAGCCCGGCTCCGGGCTCGAACCCACAAACCATGAGATCATGACCTGAGCCGAAGTAGGATGCTTAACCAACTGAGCCACCCAGGCGCCCTGGAAAATAAATTTTATATACTTTTATTTACCTGAAATTAACTACAAAATAAGATCATGCTTCAAGCTATTAGAAAGGGGCAAAATATTGAATCTTTCAGACTCATAAGGCAACACATTAATTTGATCATATAGTTCATAGGAACAGAGGATGAAGTGGTAGAAGTAGTATGCTACATTTAGAAATGTGTGTCTTGGGGTGCCTGGGTAACTCTGTAAAGTACCTGACTCTTGATTGCTGCTCACATAATGATCTCACAGTTTATGAATTCAAGCCCCATGCAGGGCTCTATGCTGCTTTTGCAGAGCCTTGGGATTCTGTCTTTCTCCTTCACTCTCTGCCCCTCCCCCACTTGCACTGTCTCTGTCTCTCTCAAAATAAACAAACTTAAAAATATATATATATATTTTATATATAATTTTTAAAAATGTGTGTCTTAGGGAAGATATTTTTATTTAAAAGTTTAATTTAATGTATCAATTAAATATTAAATGCCATGTATATATACAAAAAATACAAAACAATAGCAACAACAAAATCATTTTCAAGCAATGCATAAAGGAGAATAAAGCATCAGCCCTGCACTGAAGACCATCATAGTTTGGCTGAAATTCCAACAAATAAAATCTTTTTTATATAAAATCCTTTTTTATATTTGTAAAGATTGAAACAAATGAGATTTCAATGACTAATTAAAGATCATACAACAGTTTAATAGAAGAATCCAGGTCTCCTTACTCCTAGATCCACAGATTCCTACAAAGTTAGTCTTCTCCCTTTAGAGAGGCTGGAAAAGACCATTTCAAGTGATCCAGAAAAGATACCCCCTTTTTTTACTCCCATAGAATAATTAATACTTCTTTTTATCTTAAGACTATTTAGAAAACACTGAAATGTCTTCAAGACTAACCATTTTAAAATCTTAGCCAAAAGAAAATGAGTTCTAAAGTTTATTGAATCACGACTTAGGTAAATTAAGTATTCCCTTTCAATCTGTTCCCTCCCTATGTCAGACTAAGGTTCAGGTTCATTTAACAGGAAGCCAAAAATTTCATTGCTTAAACACACAAAGCTTTATTCACTCAAGTGAACAAGTCTAGAGATGGGAAATCCATGGAAGGTTTGGAGGCTCCACAAAGTTATCAGGGATCCAGACTCCTTCTATCTTTATGCTCTCTCATTCTCCACAAATGGCCGATGACTCCCAATATAGAGCTTGCAACAGGGCTACTTGAGCACTGGACGTCACGTCTGTGTTCTAGGCATCATGAAATGCAATGGAGTGAAGCAGGGGGGCCTGGCTGGCTTAGTGGGTAAAGTATGTGACTCTTGATCCTGGAGTTGTGAGTTCAAGCCTCACATTGGATGTAGAGCTTACTTAAAACAAAACAAAATAAAAAACAATTGGGGGAAGCAAAAAAAAAAAAAATTCTTCCAGATGAGTTAGCTCTTGTTAAGATACCTACTCAGAAATCTTATAGGTAGTATTTCACTTACTTCACACTGGCCAGAATTTAGGGTACATCACACTTGGTTCAAGGGAATTGGGAAATGGGGTGTGTTGTAGCTGGGCACATAGCCACTCTGGATGAAATCTGAGCTCCATCTTTAATGAAGAACTAAGTTACGAGATGGTTGGTAGGCAGCCAGCAGTTTCTGCCATGACCCTCACAAAACACAAAGGGACATAAGTGGCAACTGTCTTCTTAATGTTTAACCTCAAATATATTTAATATAAAAACATCAATATCAAGTTAATATTTAATGTTAATAGTTATTGTTTAGCTATTTAAAGTATTTAATAATTGCTTATATTCTTTATTTCTATTATAATGTATATTTAATATTAATAATGTACTACCATATTTAATTATTAAAATTAAAACAACTGGTGATCGATTCAGCAGCACGTATACTAAAAATGGGGCGCCTGGGTGGCTCAGTTGGTTAAGCGTCAGCTCTTAGTTTCAGCTCAGGTTATGATCTCACAGTTTTGTGGGTTTGAGCTCCACATCGGGCTCTGCACTGGCAGTGTGGAGCCTGCTTGGAATTCTTTCCCTTTCTCTCTGCCCCTCCCTGACTTGTGCTGTCTCTCTCTCACAAAATAAATAAATAAACGTAAAAAAAAAACTCTGAAAGTTTGTCTTAATTCTCTTCTACCTAGTCTGAAACAAAAAGAAATAATCATGACAGAATTTGGTGACTTAATATAATATAACTAGTTCTGACAGGTTCTCAGCCACACCTCTAATACTCTAAGCCAGCTACACCCAGAAAAATAAAACTTTAAAAACATACATGGAGATAAATTGGCTCAGTAAGAAAAGCATACTTCAAGACACCTATTCGCCAAAATGAAATCAGGAAACTGTGAATGTATTGCTTAAACTATCAGGATTATTCAGGTTGGTTTTTAAACATAATTTAGTAATTTTATTGGATAGGCTTGATCAAAACTAATTAATATCAAAATGTGATTTTTTTCTTAATCATGGGTTAGCAGAATTAATTTCCTTAGTAAAGTGACAATGAGCATGTCGTTTACCTAGATGTGGTTACCTTGTGTGTCATTGTATACTCTCCAATGCAAGGCACTCTTGGGTTTAAAGTTCACAGTCAATTATCCAGGAAGAGAAGAACACAGAGTGGATGGTTCTACTTTGTGGAAGGTGAGAGGCAAGCAGTCTTAAATTTAGGCCACCACGTGAGCTGGGACAGTTTCCCTACCACACAGTAGCCACAGACCTGAGGCCTGAGGCTACTTGTGTCCTCTCTAATTGGCTAACTGGGACATTCACTTATTCATTTTTGCAGGTTCCTCTCAAGGGATTTTCTACACAGTCCATTGAAAGGTTTACGTGCCTACAGATCTCTTGGGGATCTTGTTGAAATGCAGATTATGATCCAATAGGTCTGGGGGTGGCGCCTGAATCCACTCTCCTCACAAGCTCTCAGGTGGAGTCCAAGTAGCAAAGAGCTAGTACTGGGGTTTATTTGATAATATATCAGCCACTCTAGGAGCACGTTAAATTCAGTGTTTCCAATTTAATGGATTTGGGGGAACAGACCCCAAAATTAGCATTTCTAACACTTTCCTTTGTGACATCGATGCTGCTGGTCTAGAAGTCACACATCAAAAACCACGAATAATAGAATTCCAGTATGGATCTCAAACAGATGAGAAATACAGTGGGCATAGACAGTTACAAATCTATCTTGTAAAATACCTACGACGGATGAAATGTCTTTGTGAATTTGGTTTTCAAATTTTATGGAAATGGGCTATACAAATGTCACCCACCCTTAAATCCTGAATTTTCCACATACATCAGGAGAGGCAAAACCAACTCAAAGAAATTCTTTCATTTCCACTTTGGATTAGAGTTCCCTTTAGTTTCTTTAGTTCTTTAGTTTCTTGTACTGTACTTGGGCAGAAAATAATAGTACATGAACTTTTGGTATGAATTCTAGGTCAGACCTCAGCTAGCTCCAGGGAAGCTTTGAAGTGTCTTTTTAACATTAGTCATTCCATGCTATAGCATTTAAAGGTCCCTACACTTAGGGAAATAAGAACACTCCAAAATTATAGATAATAATTATTGCACACTGACAACTAAATTTTTAACATTTTAAAGTCCTCAGGGCACCTGGGTGGCTCAGTTGGTTGGTTAAGTGTCTGACTCTTGATTTCAGCACAGGTCATGATCCCATAGTTCATGAGTTTGAGCCTTGCATCTAGATCTAGCTCTGTGCTGACAGTACAGAGCCTTCTTGAGATTCTCTCTCTCTCTCTCTCTCTCTCTCTCCTTCCCTCTCCAACCCTCCCCAGCTCTCTCTCTCTCTTTCAAAATAATAAACTTTAAAAATGTTGAAGTCTTATGTATTGTTGGGACAAATACAGAAAAAGGCCACGCTTGTTTTTAACTTTTTTTTCCTCTACAGTCTGGAAAAAACTTTAAACTCTGTAGATTGGCTTTATCAAAGGATATTTTATTCTTATCCATCAAAAAACTTACTTTAAGAGCTCCTGGGTGATTCAGTGGTTGACTCGATTTCAGCTGAGGCCATGACCCCAGGGTCGTGGCATCTAGACCCCCATCGGGCTCTGTGGAGAATGGAGTCTGTTTGGGATTCTCTTCTCTCTCTTTGACTTCTTTGACTCTCTCTCTCTCTCTCTCTCTCTCAAAATTAAAAAAGAAACAGAAAACAAAAACAACTTACTTTAAATAGCGTGGGGGAGCTCCTGGGTGGCTCAGTAGGCATCAGATTCTTACTCGCACAATACACCTCCCTGCCTCCCACTGTGTTTTCTCTCTTCTGTGACCTCTCTCTCTCTTAAAAGAAAATAGTGGTGGAAAAGAAACAACAGGCCCAAAATGGAGACATTTGCCTTTAGGATTGAAATCCACAACTTAATTGCAATTTCAAACTCTCCCAGAGATGTGACCTTTAAAGAGTCAATCTGAATTTCCCGATCAGCATTACTAAAATAATCCAAATAAGATGACCCTTGCCTGGCTTTTCCTTTGCTAATGACTCTCCTCTCCCCACCCCCACCCTCACACTCTCCTTTTGCCTATAAAAACTTTCCATTTTGCACAAGTCTTTGGAGCATCTGTCTATCATATACTGGGTGGGGGCGGGGGAGGATCTGACAGATGCATGAGTCCTTGAATAAAGCCATTTACATGCTCTAATTTACTCAGTTAAAGTTTTGGTCTTTAACAGTGAAGATTTTAAAATAACTTGATCAATCTTTACAATTTGTGTGTTATTAATGTATTTCATATATTTGTTTTTATGATGTTTCTTAAAGTCTATTTGTAGGGGTGCCTGGGTGGCTCAGTTGGTTAAGCGACTGACTTTGGCTCAGGTCATGATCTTACCACTTGTGAGTTTCAGCCCCCTTAAGGCTCTGTGCCGATCGATCGCTCAAAGCTTGTGAGTTGAAGTCCCCCCAGAGGCTCTGTGCTGGCAGTTCAGAGCCTGGAACCCGCTTCCAATTCCGTGTCTCCTTCTTTCTACCCTTCCTCTGTCCATGCTCTGTCTCTCTCTCTCAAAAATAAATAAACATAAAAAAAAATCTACTTGTATAGTTGAAAGTTGTTATTTTATTGTTAGTAGTAAGGATTTGAGATTAAGTGTGGTTATTTTTTTTTAACACAATGCTACTAAAGAGTTTGTTTAAAATTATGCTCACTTAATTTTACTGAACCTTACAAAATATACAGAGGTCTATCCATTCTTAGTAATGTTTTCTCTTGCTATAGTTCTATTTTCTTTTCCCTGCATAAGCAGAAAGGCAAATGCGGTATCTGACAAATGGAATGTTCCTTTGGATTTACTAGAAAAACAGGTAAGAGACCAGAGACATGGAACAACACACACAGTCTGCTTTGTTTCGTTACCCTGATCGAATTGAGGATTTTCTCCTGGTACAGGACTTTTACAGCTAAGACACCACCAAATAGAATTGGCTTTTCTTTTCTGTGATAATAAAAATCCTCAACTCTAAAACATCTATCATGAGCAATTTCCAAATAATACAACATATTCCATTTTCTAAAAGTAAGCATAAGCATAGATATCAAGTTTTATAAAATATTTTTAATAAACTCAGGAGAATCAAAAGCTCGGTAAAGTTAAAGAGGCATTTAACAAAGCTAATTATTATAACAATTATATCAATTTTCATCTGTCTTGGTGTCGCCATGGGATTTTTTCACATGAAATACTTTGAGATCTGGATCAAGATAAGAAAAAATTAAATGTATGTTTTCCCTAACTACAGATTTAATTACAGAAAAATAAGTCATAATGATTTACTTATTGACAATTGATGATTAACCTATATAAAATAATCCATAAAATACAATGTTTTATTAACAAACTAAATTGGTCAACAGTACAGCAGAGTTTCAAAAATTTTCTCAATCATACAAATAACATTTAATTTGGAGTGTAAACTGAGAATGTGAATTTCCTAAATAAAAGACAAATCATCGTTCCTCTGTGAAATAATTTTTAATAATATTTGAAAGTATTTAAAACAGCCAAAACTACTTAAACAAATTCATTTTCCAAACTTTCTAACAATTCTGCTAATAATTTTAGAGTGTCTTATTTTGCTGACCTTTAGCCTTTAATTTTAGTTTATGTTCAGATATAAAATTTCTTTTCCTATCTAAGTAAACATAGGAAATGAAAACATAAATTAACAAATATAAGTTAATGCTCAGCTAAAAATTTTTAATTGCTGAAAAATGTTCTGCACCTATATTCAAGGATATAACATGGCATGCTATATTTCCAAATTTTTAATATTATATTTAAAAATCTCAAAACTGGTACCATTGTCAGAGTAATGTATACATCAGGCAACAGAAATTGCATTATCCCCCAAAATTATTTTACTCACAATTGCTATAAAAATCATACATTGTCGACATCTTATAAAATAAAATGTCATTTATTAAAACTACTTTTTAAATTCTGCTCAAATATCCAATTTCACATAAAGAAACACCTTTCATTAGAAGCTGTAATTGAGAATCAGAAGACTAATTACAAAATTTTACTTACAAAATTTTAAAAAATCAACCACCCTCTTTTCAATTGTTAACTAGTTAATAGATTCTTAAAAAAGAAGCATTTTTTTTTTTTTGTCTGAATGAGAAATTTCCATTTGATATATACTGTCACTGTTTGTAAATGTATAGAGTTTGGCACAAAAGACTATTAAAATATTATTTAAATAGATAGCTTCTTTCTAAATTAATATAATATCCTATTAAGATGTTATACTTTCAAAATAATTTATTAACTCGTATTCATTTATCCATCACTCAATAAATGTGTGATTAGATTTCAATGTTTTAACATTTAATGCCAGAAATTCATTATTTCTGATTTTCAATTTTCTTAAAGTAATTACCAATGTAGGCAGAGTATTAAATCCTATTATGGATGCTCATTCCATTTTTAGCATATTTAAAGGTCGAAGCATCATGGATCAGCATTGAAAGTCTAATGCCTTCCAGGTTGGTTTCACAAATGCTTGAAGATTGTGGAGCCTCGTCAAACTAGAGAGTGCATGTTCTTGCTAAGGTAGTTATACCTTAAAAAGGTAACAGTGCATCCTCCCATCTGATCTTACAAAATCTCTGTGGCTCAAATTGCCATGAGCTTCTTCTGGTCCTGTCTTTCCCCCAAACTAGAAGCTGTAGGAATCTGATTATGCATCCATAGGGTCAGAGATCCAAGGACCAAGTGCCAAAGGCTCCTGAAAGCAAACAGTGCTGGGAACACCACCGCAGGGTGAAAAGTGTAGTGAGAAATTAACACCTATTTACCAAACTGAAGACTGTACCAAAGAATAAATACTCAAAAGTCCTTCAATACATAGCCACTCAGGTAGAGGAATAAATTCTCTGGCACCAAAGACAATATTTCTAAGAGCATCTCTAAGAGCAACTTCCCCAGGTTGTTGAAGAAAATTATTTAATTTTCATCTAAAATTAAAATTCTTTTCTCTATTAACCTCCACAATACCCAGCTCTTCCACCATACACTTCCATAGCATACAGAGTAACAGAAGTTTCCACACAAAAGAGGCAAGAAAGCACATAGCACAAGTCCTGAAAAGGGCAATATATACATGCATACAAAAGAAAATTAACACATGAAACTGCTATCTCTAGAGAACATGGAAGTTATATCAGACGGGGAGAATTTAGGGGAGTTTCGTATTTATAGTATCCTTATCTATACATGACTTGAAATTTTCCTCCAAGAAACAAACATATTAGCAGATGCTGCTATCATTTTACATTCACTAAGCCCCTGCGTATGCATTTGTAGATGTTTCTCCATTAAAACATACATTTATTTCTTGACACACGTCTTTGCTAGCGTCCTAAATTTGGGTTCCAGATGATCAAGAAACTCAAGCCCTTCTTCCTCCTGCCGATCACTGCAGCAGCCCACAGAGCCCGCCACAGACCCTTTTCCTTCGTAGTTATACGAACGAACGTAGTCTTCAGAGTGTTTATGCTCCTCATCTTGTCCACACAGATACACCTTCTGTATCAAAAAAGAGCACATTTTATTATTTTTTTTTATAAAACACCTAAACATATTAGCTTAAAAATAATGTCTTTGATTTACCTTTTACTGTTTAATTTTTAACCAGAGTGTGTCCTCTAACGGATTCCTACATATAAAAAATGCACATGATTGGTCTGTATTACATTCATTCTGAAAATATAGCAGATATACAAATGCTCCTAGTGAACACATTTATGAAACTTAAAGCTACACACAAAGTTAACTTACAATTCCCCATTGGAACATAAGATTTGTATAGTTGCAATGTATCTATGCAGCTTCACATATTTGGGGGACCAATGTAGGTTATGATTCTTCTGTTTATACATTAGTATATAGTGGTAATAATGTAATATCTTAAACTGGTTAATACTAGTCAATATTGATTAATCTGAACATAAAACAAGGAACTAACACCCCAAATAAAAGCTTAACAGTCTACCTGATTGATGTCGGCAGCTAGTCCTTCATGACTGAATAGGGGATTCAATACACGAAAAAATATTTATAATTTATGATCCCTCCACATAAATCTTTCAGTCCAGGTGATTCTCCTGATAATTTTTAGGGAAGAGGCTATTGGTCTTTTTATACTTCCTAAACATGTCTACATATGCCACCCCTAGATGGTTCTGTAGTTTTGTAAACATTATTTTAAAAATTAAACTTTAAAAGGTCATTTTGGGTTTGGTCTGAAATCTAGATCTATGGTAATTAAACACTAAAAGGTGATGAGTTCCACTGCATGAAGAGTAAAACTTTTGGGAATTCCTGACTTCTAAATCATGCTTAAACTTTTATGTAATACCATCTCGCAGACATTGGCACTCACTTCGCCAAGCCGGGGTTGGGTGAAGCTGTGCCAGTCAGTGTACGTGTATCTGCCAGTGTCCGTCACTCCCTGTCCTGCTCCCTTGACAGATTCCAAGGTCTGATGTCCACCTCCTTTGCTGGAATCCAAAGTGTAGCCGCCTTTGACCATCTCAAAGCTTTGCTGTGTTTTGACTCCCTGGCCACCAAGAGTGCCACCAGACATGCTTGTGTCACAGATGTTGGAGGTCTGTGTGGGCAGTCTAATATTTGCTTCCTAAAAATACAGTTAGAGTTATAAAATGATGAATGAAATTGAAACTAACAATTTACATTCATTTCTTTCCCACCAAAATTCATATTTTGAAGGCCTAATCCTCACTGCTTTGGAATGTAAGTCATTTGAAAATAGGCCATTATATACGTATTTCGTTAAACTAAGATCAGGCTCAATTAGGGTGGGTCCCTAATCCAAAGGCAAAATTCGTTTATTTATTTAAAAAATATTTTTAATGCGTTATTTATTCCTGGGAGAGAGAGAGAGACAGTGTGAGCAGGGGAGGGTTAGAGAGAGAGGGAAACACAGAATCCGAAACAGGCTCCAGGCTCTGAGCTGGCTGTCAGCATACAGCCTGACGCAGGCCTCGAACCCATGAACCGTGAGATCATGACCTGAGCCAAAGTCAGATGCCCAAGCAACTGAGCCATCCAGGTGCCCCTCAAAGGCAAAATTTAAACACAGGCAGGCACACATGGAGAGAATGTCAACTGAAGATTTGATTTATGCTCCCATAAGTATAGGAACTTCCAGTTGGTGGTTCTTTGCAGTCCTATGAAACTAATACAATAGGACCATGAAGTTTAAATGAATTAATTCACGCAGGTCATCTGAAATTCTGCTTGGCATAGTAAGTGCTCAATAAACATTAACTGTTACTATTACTATTATTATATTATAATCAACTGTTATTATTGGATCACCATACAATTCATAGGAAAGTGAAATCTAATTTACCGTCACTTCTTCTCCAGGTCCTTCAGTATTTGACACAATTAAATTTTGCTGGGCTACATCTGGAAAACATTTCTTTACTGTTCTTTTAGCGGTAACACAGAAACAAGTAAACAGAATACCTAAAAAATAGAAAGTATTTAAGCACAATAGTGTTTTTTCATGCAGGTATATATTAAATCATTTAAATCATATGATTTTTTTAAAAGTTTCTTCACAGAACTTTAAAAATTTTATTCCAAATATTGAGATTTTTGGGTCATAAAATTTAAAACAGAATATTAACAAATGTATGAGTATATAGACCATCTCTGCCTTATTGAGATTATGTTAGCTAAATGAGAAAAAATCAATAAAAACTAGGAAGATGAAGTGAGCATAGTTTATTAATAAGTCTCTTCTCAAATTCAGAATTAACTTAAATGATTCTCTTATTTGCTCCGCAGTCGAATGGCAACTCCCTTGGATTGAAATTTAAGCGAGTATTACTGGTACTTAAGATGCATACAGAACCCACTTAAAGGGCATTAGGCGTAAACACAAACATGAGAGGCAATTACATAAAATCAGTGGCTGATTTTGAAAGTGCACATCGACAACTAATAGTGCTAAGGGGAACATGCAGTTTAACATGAAACTCCAATCCATGAGTTAGGACACAGTAAAGACTATGGGGAAAGTCTCTAAATGCAAATGGGTTGTAGAGTCAAATAAACTCTTAAAAAAGAAAGCATGAGGGAGTGTAAGTGGGAAGGAGAGAGAACAGAAAAAGTGTGAGCAATGATTTCCATTACTTTTGCATCTCTGAAACAATGGTTTGTAGAACACAAAATCTTAACCTTCTTTGCATGGATTACTTTTCCTCAGTGGTTTACCCCGTGATCGTTTTCCACACACTGGGATCTTTTTTTGTTTGTTTATGTTTTTAAGAGTTCTATTTGTTTTCTTATTTTTTAAGATTTGTTTGTTTTTAAGTAATCTCTACACCAACGTGGGGCGTAAACTCAAGATCCTGAGATCAAGGGTTGAATGCTCTTTTAGCAAAGGCTATAAAGGTCATTAAATAAAGAACTACCATACATATTTTTTAAATATTAGATAAGACTTCAACTAATACATTCTAGATAATTATACTTACATGACAGCAATGCAGAACCCAGCACCATGGCAAGAATAGCCCATCTTCCAAGTATCACGTTTGATGGCTTAAAATCTCTCACATTTTTGACATTCATCTTACAGTCAGATGGGGTCGTACAGTCACATACTCTCACTTTTAACATGTGTTTTGCATCTAAACCATGTCTGTCTTTTATTATAATAGGCACAGTATAATAGTTATAGTCAAGAATTTGCCGCTGATGAAGAATTGCAGTTTTACCTAGAGAAAAGAAGGCAGAGAAAATACATATTTATATGACATTTTTTTTTGAAAGAGAGAGACAGAGAATGAACATGGGAAGGGCAGAGAGAGAGAGGGAGACATAGAATCTGAAGCAGGCTCCAGGCTCCAAGCTGGCAGCACAGAGCCTGATGCAGGGCTTGAACTCACAAACCGTGAGATCATGACCTGAGCTGAAGTCAGACGCTCAACTGACTGAGCCACCCAGGTACCCCTATGACCTCTCAATAGCACTATTCTTCTTCCTTGGTATTTCTGGGGTAGAGGGGGGGGGAAGAGAGAAGGTGCAGAATTTAGCTTAAAGGAAAAACTTCAGTGGTTTATTTTTATTTCTTAAAAATGATTTTGATTTCTTGAAACACTAAGAAAATTAATTAATATTACTCTACACTTATATTAGGCTAAGCTATACTTATTCACATATTATATTTTTATGTTTTCTTAAAATATATTTGGAACAAGAATCTAAACATAAATATATTATTCATTGCTTTAAAGAAGTAATGTATTAGGGCCCCGGGTGGCCTCGTTGGTTAAGCATCTGACTTTGGTTCAAGTCATGATCTCACATTTCACGGGTATGAGCCCCACATCCAGTTCTCTGCTGTCAGCACAGAGCCTGCTTCAGATCTTCTGTCCCCCTCCCCACTGGTTCTCTCTCTCAAGATAAATAAACTTAAAAAAAAAAAAAGGATATTGCTCTTTTGTCTGAGCTGCTACATGCCACTCACACTGAGGAAAACCCAGAAACTTTGGAGCCACATGAGCCAAAGCCACAGTCGCATTGGCAAGTCCCAGAAGCAGCCAGGAGGCCAGGGTAATGCTAGTGGCATGCACCACCACAGGGTCCACTTCAACAAATATCACCTGCATCACTTTGGAAAAGTTGGTAGGAGGCATTACCACTTAAAGAGAAACCAAAACTTCTGCCCAATTTTTCAGCCTTGATACAATGTGGACCTTAGTCAGTGAGCAGACACAGGTATATGCTGCCTAAAACAAGACTGGAGCTGCTCCTATCATTGATGTGGTCCCCCTGGGATACTGCAAAGTTTTGGGGAAGAGAAAGCTCCTGAAACAGCCCATCATCACAAAGGCCAGGGCTTCCAGGGAATAGAGCAGAGGAGAGGATATAAAACCTACAGTGGGGCGTGGGGTGTGGAGCTCTGCATCCTGGTAACCTGCAGCCATGTGAAAGGAGGTTCATTAAATGCTAAGAAGTGTTGTTTTTAAAAAAAAATAAAATTAAAAAGCAAGGTATTATCCTTTTGGCGGGATCAATAAAATAATTTGTTAAAATGAATATTTATTGTAATGAGCTAAAGTGAATGTCTAAACCATCAGCCACCTTAAGGTCCTAATGATTAGAAGAGTTAGCATAATTACATACCATCCCTTGTTTCTAAATTCCAAAGTTTGTTGGCAGAATTATCCAGAAAGAATTCAAAAGGTGGACCATTCTCAGGTCCATCTGGATCTACAGGTTCGAGAACAGCATAATCCTTAGCATGCTGGCAAATTGTCACTTCATTATCAATCTGTGGTGCATGATCGTTATTATCTTCCAAATGAACTACCAGGGTTCCCGTGCAAGATCTGCCAGCTAAGAAAAATTCAAAATAGGATATTTCTTTACTTAAAATTTTATTTTCAACATCTCCATGCTACTCAGATGACAGATATGCTTTCTACTGGCTATCTGCACTTAAATCTCACAGTTTTTAGAGCACAAATACTATTGCTACAAGTACAAATAGTGACATGTCACTCTCCCTTAAAGGTTGATGGCTGTGTCAGATATATTGAGGTGCTTTTTAAAATGAAGAGGCAAGACATTATGAGTAATATCACTACAGAATAAACGGTTGAAAATAAAATTGATGTCTTAAACCTTTCTGAAGAGCATATATTCAACCTGAAAATCAAAGACTTTGGTCATCAGTCAGTTCCTTGACCCTCTTCTGATTCATTTCCTCACATCCTCTTTGCTCAGACTTTGGAAACTTCTCATCAAACCCATGGAGTATGTTCCTTCTTGTCTGCTTTGGTACGTTCTTTTTGTTGCCACTGCTAGGAATACTTTTGTCTTTCTCTTTGCCTGATAAAATCTGATTATCCTTCAAAAGTCCCCTCAAATATCACCTCCTTGTGAAACTTGTTGTGTCTTCTATGGATAATGGTAGCAATATTCTCTTTTGATTTCTCAGAACACTTTGCTCATCATTGACTCACACACTGAACTGTGAACACTTTCATCCTGAGAACTGAGTCATACTCACCTCGAGAGACTATTGATCTCCCTAGCATTTCTTGGGTAACTTATAACTTCATACTGACACACTGAACATAAGGTTATGACTATTTTGCACTTTCCAAAAAACTTAATTGAATAAACTATAAAAATAAATTTTCACTCCCTCCTTCATTCAAAAAGTATGTTTTTGACAATAGGAGCTCTTACTCAGCTTTAGATGGCCGCTAGTGTTGTTCTAATACTTTACACATTGTCTCAGTAAATATTTTTAATGACAACATTGTCCATTATTTGTGTTTAACAGATAATGAAATTCAAAAAAACATGTTTAGAATTTATCATTTGTGATAAGATAATAAACTACAGTAAATGGCAAGCTTTCAAAATTGAAGTAAACAGAAAAATAACTGATAAGGTTTCTATTTTTTTTTTTGCTTCAAATGTCAGTCTACATTTGGAGCATATATGTTGAATTTATCATAAACACCACTATAAATTATATGTAAATAAAATCCATTTTTAGTTTGAAATAAGACGTAAGTCTTTACTTGTATGCTTTGGTGATTTTTTTTTCCTGTTGAGTAACTACAAAATTAATTTATTAAAAGTGACTTTTAAGTTAATTACTTAACAAAAGACAACCACTATATACCTATTTAAAAGCTATTCTTTCTGAACACGTTTTAAAATATCTAGAAATGAAAGAGAGATCTAGGTCCCCCAATAACAAATCTACAATAGCATATAAACACTTTGATACTGCCAGAAATTTGTAATAAATCTGAATACAAGTAACAACTTCAAAATCACCAAACTAACAAAGATGTGTTAATTTTCACAATCAATTTAATTAGAGGAACAGAATATAAATGAGAAACAATGAAACACCCTTTTATAGAGAAGACACATCACCTGTGATAATTAACATTATTTACTCCCTGATAATATTACTCCCTGGAAAGGGGATTTTATGAGATATTAAGAGAAGACCTGAACACAAATGAGCGGAAACACTCACAAATGTCACTATCATTCATTTGCAGAAGTTAAGGGACTTGAATCTCAAACAGGTGGGGCAGTGCTACACTAGTCAGAGGTGTATAAAACAGTGTTTTCTAGAGTGACAGCAGGGAAACCAGCCTGCTTAACTTTACAAAGACTAACATAGAAAACTGACTCAAGAAACAGAAGTAAATAAATTGAATTCTAGGAAAGCTAGAAGAATGTCTAGGTCATCACCCTGAAATATTTATGAACATCAAAAGTAAATGCTCACGTGGAAATGTAAGTAATTACTTATATATTTGGTCCTTGGAAATACAGATTAATGGATTAAAGTGCAAATGAACAAAAGCATTGGTGTCACCATATCATCTTACATTAACACTTGTAATATCCATGTCTTTACTTCTTGAGCACACCCAGGTTATTCATGAGCCTAGGACATAGAATCTTACAGTTTACAGTTTGGCATTTCATTTCCTTGTACGTTTAGCACCAAAAGACAAAGTTCTCATATTTCTGTTCTCCATATTCTCCTTCTCTTCAAATAGTATTTTCATGAAGAAAGCTTCTTCATTTCTGTTAAATTTCCCTTTATCCTTTAATCTGGGCAGCTCTTCACTGATTTCTCCCTCTTATGATATCCATACATTTTTGGGGGAAAGTTGTCACACCAATAGCCTCTTATGAGAATATAATAGTCCTTTAACTGATGTCATGTGAGAATTTGCCCTTCTGTTGTGAATTTTAGTTTTCATGGTGATGTGTCTGGTACTTGGAGCTTACTAGACTATCAACATTCATGGAATAAGTGAGTAGAAATAAATCCTTCTGGACAGCATAATTGTGTTCTTGAACCATTCAGATTTCACTTTTGTTTATACAAGAGGAGCAAATCACCCATGGTTTTAGAGTGGTGGCAACATTAACTATATTTCCCAGCTAATGTTTTCTCCATTCTTTGGTAGCTTTTTTGTCCTTCCTATATTGAAAGAACTACATCAAAAGGCTGTGTGATAGGTATCAAGAAGAAAGGAAGATCAAATGCACATGGTTATATAATGATAGTCACATTTAGTTTTTCTTTTAGATTTGGAAACCCAAATATTTTTGGCACATGGGAATAACACTTAACAACTGCTTGTTTGTGTATTTCTATGGTGCATACATTAGCATAGTAGCACATGTATACAAACATACTGGTAAATATAGGGAGGTTGCTGTGTGCAGATTTCAGCCAGTGGACAAACAATTTTGTGGCTGGACTGGCCCTTGTGAGTCTTATATGATTGCAAGGTGCCCTAGCCATCAGGAGACTTTTGGAGAAAAAAGGTCCTGGAAATTATGTGGTCCAGCTGAGGCCGCACAGCAAGGTTGTTGGGGGTAGGACGAAGAAAGCAAGCCTGGGGTACTGCTTTTATCAGGGCCAAGAGTTGGGACTAAGGGTTTCTGGAGCATGAGTGGGGAAGGGGCAGAGAGAGAGGAAGACACAGAATCTGAAACAGTCTGGAGTTCACTCTTTACTGGTGAATTTAAAACCTAAGAGCAAGAATTTAAAGCACTGGGAAGTGATAACACAAGCAACCAGTGGCCAGTTATTGAAATCAAGCAAGATCTCTAAAAGGAGACTGGGCTGGTATTGGGATGTGGCTCAGGTTTTTTGTCTTGTCTGCTTGGCGGACTAGATGGTGCATAGCCATCTCTGAAGTGGACGCCTTAGCAATCAAAGCTTAGGTCAGGCAAGCACTTGCATTACAAAACAAACAAAAGTGTCAGGGCATACACTACAATGAGCACATTCAAAAATCATTTACTGTAGGGGTGTACGTTCAAAAGGGTTTTGAAAACATTACTTCATGATATTTGAAGGACATTTCTTCACAACATAAGTTCTAGAATTAAGTAGAACTGCAAACCACAGCGCAAGACTTAAGAGTCATTGTTTGATCATTCTTTAGGAAATAGGATGCATGTTTTGTTCCCCATCACAAGAAGCTCAGAGGAAACTTAACTTGTGCCAAATGGTTTTAGGTGAGTTAAACCCTTTCAGCAAGTTCAGACCATAATCATCTAAATCTGTGCTTCTGAAAATAATGGAGATCCTAGAGGATGCCACCGTGTCTTTGGCCACTCATTCATCACCTCCTAGCTTTGCATTACTGATGCACTTGAGATGATGTTGGGTGGTCTCTAATAAATTGAGCAATCAGTGCAAACATATTTCACACCAAGTTTGGATCTGACCATAAACAAAGTTCACCCGAAAGTTTGCTTAAAAACATATCCTCCATTTCTAGGAAACTGTACTCACCTGCATCCATTGCAACCACGGAAACATTGTATTGGTTGTTTTTGACAAATTTTGATTCTCTATCTAGCACTTTTATAGTTCTCAAGTCACCAGTGTTTTCATTAATTTCAAACCAGTTATCTTCATCTCCTATCTTCTTATACCTAATTTTTAGAAATCAAATGTAAATGCTCAGACCAAAGATTGAACATAATCTCAAAATATGTCACTTTGAAGAATACATTACCTTAAGCCTTCACCACTGCGAGTTTCTGGATCCAACGCTTTGTATCCATGGAGTTCTTTTCCAATTGGGAGGCCATCTGTACTCTGAAGAATTTTTACCGGTGGTTGGCATTCAGGGCCCTCATCACTGTCTTTAATTTTAACAGTGACAGTTGTAGTGCACATAGTAGGAGGTTTTGAATTTGCTGCTTTAGCAAATTGTACTTCATTAAGCACACCAATTTGCAAAACAACCTCACGATGGACTTCGTAGTTCAATGGCTGTTCAATAAACATACTTTAAATCAGTCAATTTGGACCACTGTATATAAGTAGAAGACTTATAAGTATGATCCCAGGTTTTAGCACAAAAAGGAGTATCATTTTTGCATATAAAATGTTACCCAAAGCAGGTGCTAATGTGGTTAAAGACTAATAGTTAACTTCCTATAATGAGAAACAAACACTATTAAATACAAAATTGTTGACTATTTAACAAATATTTCTTCACCCTTTCCTTCAGGAAGGTCTTGCCTTCACTTTTTCATTATGGGTTTAAATATTAATAGAAATTGAATAAGTGTTTTAATAAATCCAAATTTATCAAATGAGATAACAGTGATAACTAAGCCAATATGGAAGTATATTAAAAGTATGAAAAGAAATATATAAAATAGACTACTAAAACATGATATTTGGCTATAATGGAGCAGTTACTTTGAATGTATGAGTAAAAATTATGATACTATCGAAGTCCATTACATTTATTTTTTAAAATTATTATACTTAGGATTGTATAGCTCTTAATCAAAGTGCTCAGTTCTGAACTGAATAATGAGAAGCATCTTGAAACCATAGTTAAACAATTAGAGACTAAAATCTATCAGGACAACAAACAAAGGAAAGCAAGTGAAAAAAACCTAGACCCCTCAAAAAAAAAAAAATCAAAAAGAAACAAACAAAAAGCCCAAGGAAGAAAAAGAAAAAGATGGGTGAGAGAAAGAAAAAGCAATATAATAATTAAATGGCATTTTCTAAAAGTCTTAGAAAAGTAAGAAAATCTTAGAAAAGTTGTACTTAGGAAAGTACAACTCATGCATATATACACAAGAGTGCATAGATGCACAACAGTGCATAAGAAAATACAGTGTCCCTAAGAAATTGATTAGGGAAATTATCCAATAGGTTAGTGGGGACTCTCGGTAGAAGCAGTCCCAAAAGAATCAGATATGTCTACAGCTATAAAACCTTGAATACACCTGATCTCATCTAATCTCCAAAGCTAAGCAAGGTCAGTCCTCATTAGTACTTAGAAGAGAGACAAAGGAACCAGATTAGTTCAAGTAATCATTTTGGGTGCCACTAATGGCAACTGAATTTTTAAAATGCCTAAATGCTGGCTACCTCAAATAAAGGAGAATTAGTGGGAATAGCTGCTGAATATTTAATAGTCTGTCTTATATATCATAGAAAAGCAAAAGTATAATATAAGAATGAGGACACTTGAAAAGTCAAGAGGTTTGATTTCCAGTAATAATTCTTCTATTTCTCTCCATCTTGTGTTCCATAAAATAAGGGATTTGGACAAGTGGGTATCGAAGACCCCTTCTAAGTCTAATACTTGATTACTAACACAATATTTCTCTGCCTCGGATTTCCCTCATGTATAGACAATGTGTTTTGTACCCACAATGCCTGTCTTCTTCCTCTCTTTTTATTTTGAGAGAGAGAGAGAAAGAGAGAGAGAGAAAGCATGAGCAGGGGAGGGGCAGAGAGAGAGGGTAAGAGAGAATCCCAAGGAGGCTCCTCACTGTTTGTGCAGAGCCTAACACAGGGCTCAGTTTCATGAACCACAAGATCATGATCTGAGCTGAGATCAAGAGTGGTATGCTTAATCAACTGAGCCACTCAGGTGCACTATTGTCTATCTTCTAAGAAAGAGGATGAGCATATAATAATAATAATAATAATAACAAAACATTTATGTAAGCCAACAATAAATCATTTTAGCATTATACTGTAATTCTCTAGCCACATACATACAGTCAAATACATATAGAGATATATAGTACATAGGATATAGATATAGATATGTAGATATCAATGCCCAAGTGTAAGTTAGTATTTTTTAAAGTATTGCGTGATCTTTGTTGTTGTTGTTGTTGTTGTTGTTGCTTACCTTGACAACACACAAGACTGCTTCATTTGTATTGGGGTCTGTGCTAATTTTGAAGTTTCCATTTTCATTTCCTTGTAGGATTGTATATACAGCCTTTGAGTGAGGAGTGTTTGGTAAGTCCTGGTCATGTACCGCCATTCGTAAAATCTCGACATCAATTCTGTTTTCTTCTACTTCTGTAAAATACTAAAACAATTGTCTCTTGTTATAAATTCATAGCATCAACAACATGATATTCAACTCTAAAACTTACATTTAAAAGAAAAGAAAAAAAAGAAAATAAAGTGATATGGGAATGTACAATCATATATTGGAAATAACTTAAAAATTTCATGTATAGTGTACTTCTCTCCTCACTAAACTGATTTTTCAAATCTTACCCATTCTTTTATATTAACATATTAACTCTTCAATATTTATAGATAATTATAACCTACATTGATTTCTTCTTATTATTTTTTTAAAATATTTTTTTAATTTATTTCTAGGAGAGAGAGAGACAGCGTGAGCAGCGGAGGGGCAGAGAGAGAGGGAGACACAGACTCCGAAACAGGCTCCAGGCTCTGAGCCGTCAGCACAGAGCCTGACGCGGGGCTCGAACCCATGAACCACGAGATCATGACCTAAGCGAAAGTTGGACGCTTAACCGACTAAGCCACCCAGGCACCCTTTGATTTCTTATTATTACTGGATGACTTGTTACTATGCCAATTTTTGTTTTTAATTTACTTCTGTTTCACTAGCAAACATTTTAAAGGAAAACTTTTTCATTTTTTTGAGAAATTAAATCACATTTTTTCTCTTCCTCCCTCCAAAAAAGAAATATGTTTACAGAAGCATATTATATTAATTAAAAGACTAAACAAAGTAGCAAGTCAGGATCTTCTAGAGATGTAAAATGAATTTGTAGAAGGATGATAGGCTGATAGCATCTGGAGCATAACAGATCTTAATTCTAATCCCAGGTTTTCCTCTTACATGTTCTATACGTATGACATTATGAGCAAGTTATTTAACTGAATTTTTATTTTCTCAAGTAAAATACGGGATAAACTTATCCTCACAAGTTGTAGGGATCCACATAAAGCAGTGTATGAATATGCCTATCACTAGGAGTTCTCTTTTTTTAACTTGTACTCTAGTATACATAGATCAATGAAAACAATGAAAATTACCATCAAATGTTCCAGAAATAAAAGTCATTTCCTGGAAGTATCATCCTGTATATATTTCTTGTATTGTGTGCTTCCTAAAGGAAAGTTGGCTCATATGTGATGCTGGAAGTATCTACATATAGATGATGGGGGGTGGGGAGGCACACTGTACTTACTGATCTTCCAGCAGAGCAGAAAATACAAAGCTAGTCTTTTTTTTTTTTAATATCTTGGGAAGTTAAAGTGCAAAGGATACCAGAGAGAGGGTCTCTTCTGTACTCTATAAAAGGAATTTAAATCCAAGGCATCGATAACAGACTTCGGCATCCAAGAAAATGGTGAATACGTGAACAGCAAGCATGAAGGGTTAAGCCATTAGATGGTCAAGAGAATAGTTTTCTCCCTAACATTTAGAAGTAACTGGTCTTTCAATTATTATTATAGAAATCTGGTTTTTTTTGCATGTCATCTGTAAGCGACAGCACTCAAAACCAAAAATGTGTAGTCTCACAGAGCTACCAAATTCCAGGTGTGGTTTTTTTGAAAAAGTAAATGAACCTTGGTAAACGAATACAAAGACATACTCACAGATGTTTCCGTAAAATATGGTGAATTGTCATTTTCATCCTCAAGTGAAATTGTAATTGTTCCTGTATTAAATAAACCAAAAGGTTGGCCCCCCATGTCTCGCACCTCCATTATTAACTGGTATGTATCACATTTCTGAAAAAAAGAAGAAAAAAGAAAAGGGTACATTGATGAACACTTCTATTTCTTATCACTTGTGATTCTCATAGCCATTGCTTAGGCTCTGATTATTTTACATTCTTTATTTTTTTTAAATATTTTTATTTATTTCTAGGAGAGAGAGAGACAGCGTAAGCAGGGGAGGGTCAGAGAGAGAGGGAGATACAGACTCTGAAATAGGCTCCAGGCTCTGAGCTGGCAGTCAGCACAGAGCCCAACGCGGGGCTCGAACCCATGAACCGCGAGATCATGACCTAAGCGAAAGTCGGATGCTTAACCGACTAAGCCACCCAGGCGCCCCTTTACATTCTTTATTTTATTTTATTTTTTAAAAGGCCACCTTAAATATAAATATAGACCAGGAGATGGGTTAGTCAGTACAATAGAAAACTATGTGCTTAACCTAACATTTCATAATTTAAAACTATTTTATCATTCACATATCAAATTAGGTCAATGACCTTAAGTGAGAACTTGTCTAACATCTTGTGCCTTCCCTAAATCTCTGCAGAGACAAAGAAAGGCAAAGGGAAGCCCTAAGCACAGCCTGTGTAGAAGCAAGCTGGGAGATGTGGCCGTAGAATGCCTTACTGTAACTTCTCTGGGAGTTCATTATCAGTTGAAATATAGCTTAGTGACTGTAAAATTAATTAATCAGTTCCTTACTTCTCTATCCAGTAAAGGTGTAGTTGTGGTGATGACACCTGTATCTGGATGTATGGAGAAATGCTTTGGATGATCTGGGATCTGCTGTAAGATTTTATATTTCAGGCGAGTATGTAGAGTGTCAGGTTCATCGTGGTCTATGGCAGTCACTTGTCCCACTGAAGTTCCTGTTTAGATAAACGCAATATCATCAATAATTTAAAAGAACAATATAATTGAATTACAAACAAGGCATGGTTGTAACATATTCTCCCAAAAATCACAAGTAGATTTATTTTATAGGTGGAGTGGAGTATCTAAATGCTCTCCAAAATGCCAAGCTCCCCTTACTTGGAAACTTTAATTATATGGGTACTGTGAATAACATGGTTTATATTCCACACATTTGGGAATATCCACCCCACCTTTGGTAGCAGTGGTTTTCAACTTCTTCCCCTCCACCCACCACCCCAGTTCATGGACTATTTTTGGATGGGGCCTTCTCTGTATATCTTGTTTCTTTTATAGCTGAACTGGACAAAGTTAGAGGAATAGCACAGCTTTGAATATGATAGGAAAGATTTTACACTTTGATATTTTAATAAATGTACTGAATTGTTAATATATGCAAGTAACTATGAATACACTGTGCAGCAGTCTGAGTATCATTTGGACAAGCTTTACGGCCCAGAAATCAGAGTATTAGAAATGTGTTTAATCAAACCATTAACTGTGAAAGAACAATATTAAACATGCATGCATACATAATGACAATAGAATGGATTAGGCATTTCTTGTAACTTTTTCCTTTTTTTTTTTTAAAGTTTACTTATTTATTTTGAGAGAGAGTGAGACAGAGTGTGCACATAAGCCAGCACAGGAGGGGCAGAGAGAGGAGAGAGAGAATTCTAAGCTAATAAAATTAGCTGATAATGCAGAGCTTGAAGTGGGGCTTAATCTCATGAACTGGACCACGGCCTGAGCCAAGATCAAGAGTTGGATGCTTAACAAACTGAGCCACACAGGTGTTCCTCTTGTAACTTGTCTCTTGTTAAACCTGGTAGTCTTACGCCCATTGATGTGCCTAGGTCACAATCTCAGCTGCCTATAGCATCAAATCAGTTTAGCTTTTTAAATCTGCCCTAAATATATGCCAAGTAAGGCAATGTATTTATTTTTATAAATCAGATAAACATTTCCATGAGATGATCTATTTCTGAGTCCTTGACAATGTATTAAAACGTTGTAAAGATTCAAATTATTTATTGCTTTATAAAGGCATCTGTGACACCTACGTACATGGTCAAAACAGAAAACATAAACAGCATTTGTCTGTCACACATTCATATTCATCGTGGATTCAGCTGCCTTCTATATGAGCACCACGGAAATGAGGACAAAAAGGTTTGCCTCTGAAGAGTATATGATCTTGTAAGTCTACAACGTTTTATATAGAATACCCTTGATATTTCAAGCATTTTAAAAAATATTTATTTAAGTAATCTCTACACCCAACATGGGGCTCAAACTCACAACTCTGAGATCAAGAGTTGCAGACTCTTCCAACTGAGCCAGCCAGGCAGCCCTGACATTCAAGCATTTTGAAATGTTTTGCATAATTGTGTTTAAAGCGTGACTGAGGAATTGAATCAAAGCAAAACTCTAGTGTTTTCCTAAGTGAACTCACCAGTTCGACAATTTTCAGGCACACTGAAGATAGTCACTTTGTTTTCAAAATATGGAGCATTATCGTTATCATCTTCAACTTTGAATAGCAAGGGGAGCGGGTACTCGGGTGCGTAGCCGTCTGCAGTGGTGGCATAGGCATAGAGCTAAAAGGCAGACAAACACCATCAGCTCCTTCTCAAATGACAAGTGACACACAAAATTAGACTTAGTGGTTGGGGTAAGACATGATGTTTAAAGAAGCCTCCACAAAAGAATGTGTAACTAAGAACTTATGCGATGGAAAACACACCAGCACAGTCGCTGCTTTCACGTGGCTTGGATCCTCTCTCTGTGTTCATGTTCTCCCACCAGGTACCAGCATCTCAGCTGAATGAGTCTACTCTGCTCTCTGAATCATTCATATGCCCTCTACTTGTTAGAATGTATGCAAATTTTCCCCAGTTACGCTAATGACAAGAATATTTTTTAAGTTTAGAAAAAACAGGATTCCATTTATTTACAGATTTGCATAGACATATATATACATAGATATCAACAATCTTCAGTGATTGAATTATGAATTCTTTACTTATCAGCATTTTCTCATTTTCCTATCATAAATATATATTTATTATGTAATAGCGTTGCCAATAAAGTCATATACATATTTCAAGCTCAATCTCAAAATGCTATATCTTGACCCCAAAGCCAGGATTTAATATCTTTTCCTTCTAAAAACCATCAATTTATTTCTTTACACTTCTTATATGTCTTATGCATAGTAAGTATTCAATAAAGAGTTGTTGAATTAAATAGATTTTCTCCACTGACAGCACCAACTAAATGTGCCCAAAGTAATTCTGCATTAATTCACTTCTTCAGCACAGTCAATTCTTGATTGTTCTACTGTAACCATCTTCCAAAATGAGCCAGGATTAAAATTCCAGGTATCTAACTTTTCCCTGTCTTTCAATAGCCTGTTTAGTCAGTTGCCAAGTTCTAGGGATTATGACATTTCTGTGTCTCTGGCATCCATTATCTCTTTTTAAATCCTTAAAAAAATTTTTTTTTAAATCTATTTATTTTGAGATACAGAGAGAAAGAGGAGAGAGCACACACACATGAGCAGGGGAGGGGCAGAGAGAGAGGGAGAGAATCCCAGGTACTATATTGGGTACCTGGTTTTGTTTTATTACCAATGATAAGCTAAGTATCTCCAAAATAAATCAAAAGTGAAGTCATTACTGTAGAGAGAATGATCCAGATTAGGAATATAGCTAAACTTTAAAGCATAGCCTCACTCCCTAGGAGAATCCATTTATACTCCTATAATAGAGAAATTAATTATACATTTTCTTATTTAGTCATTAAAGTAACAGTTTCAAAAAATAATAGTAATGGTTTTACAGTTTCGTTCCCATTTTTTTATACTGAAAGCAATAATCATATACATTCAAGTATATGATTGTTGTTTAAAAGAAGTATAATATAGGATATTATACTTTCAAATTAGTCACATTTTTAGCTGAATTAGAAGTTATTTACATTTCAGGTGTGTTTTTGATATATTGTTTCTCCCTTGAATTCTTCTGTAGCTTGGAGAATCTCATCTCTTTTTAGCCCTTTCACACTGCAATTTGCTGAAATTTCTTTAATCTTTGAGAAGATGCAAACAGTTGCCAGCAGGAGTGGGGACTTGAGTTTGACCTTGTAATGAAAGATATCTAATGTCGACTGGGGAGAGTAAGGAGAGAGCAGTGGCATCAAAGCTGAGTGGGTGCAGAATGTGATTTGCAACATACATATAAAGACCATGGGTAGACCTATGAGTCTGGAAAAGAAACGCATGTTGCAAGACAATAAGGCTTTGGTTGGATAGGTAAGAGATTAGAAGGAAACTAAGTTTTCCCTATGTATTTACAAAAGATACAGATTATCCTCAGTGCTCAAAGACAAAAGTATTTGTAACTGCTTTCTTTCATAGAATAACTTGGAATTATTGAAGAAAATCCTCTTCTTATACAACTATTATTTGAAAAACTTGGAAAAAATGGCCTTGCACACATCCCTAAAAGATAAGATGAATTTAATGGTTTAAGACAAACTCTTTAAGCTGCAATAATGGTGTGACTCATCCAGAAATATATTTACAAGCCAAGATTAAACAAGATAACATGTGGCAAGAGAGAGAACAGGAACATAGTAAGGATATGCATTGAATTAGACTCATGGCAACTTGTTTTCAATAATCAATAAAATTGAATTATTTCAAGTAATAATAACTGGTTAACACATAACATTTATGTATAGGTTGTACAAATGCAAAAAATAGGGAAATCCCATTAAAATCCTACTTTGAAGACAAAATCCTGTAGCAAGAGTACTGTCTGATCTGCCACTAGAATTTTTTCAGAAGCTGTACAGTTTATATATTGATTTTACCAATATTATGGTATTTAATGATCGCAACAGGTCTAAGGTACGTAAGACAACTATTAGCAGTCCATAAAACAGAGAAGGAAACAGATTCTTGAAGGTTGTGAACTGTCCAACGCTAAAAGAAAAGTGGCAGATACTGAAGATCTACTAATTTCCAGAGAAATAAGCTTTCCAATATAAAGCAGTAAGTAAAATTGATTTGATAGGGAAGCAAAGACATATTATTTTTCACCTTTATGTTGATAAAAAAGGCTTCCATTCTATATTGCCTCAAGTGATTTCAGAACTTGCATCATGTTTACATCTGTTTGTTATACTTCCTTTTATGAATCTTACGAATTTGCAAGTGGCATTTCTTAATATCAATTCAATCTTAAGTATGTTAATCAAAACTAGAGAAACATGAGTAATTCTGAAATAAAAATTAACCAAAAGCCACTTAAACCATGAACTCCATACTGCTTTATTCTTTCATCCTTTAAAAGATATTTAAAAATAGCAAAGTAACTTTTTTATAAGTAATCTCTGCACCCAATGTGGGGCTCAAACTCATAACTCTGAGATCAAGATTCATGTGCTCTACCAACTTGAGCCAGAGAGGCATCTCAATGTAACTTATTTTTAAAGTAAAACTATTCCTTCTGGCAATAATCCAATGGGAAGCAGCTGAAGACCTCCAAATTCCAAAATCCAAAAACAGAATGTTATCAGCAGAATAAGAAATGAAATGTACATTGCAGCATACAGAGTATGCAGCTTTTTATTTCTCCTCAAGAGAGACCACTAGTGTTAGATCTTTTCTTTCTGTGAAGGAGCTATAAAAGGGACAGAGAATTTACATATTTACACCCACCCTCCCTCCCCCACATACACACATCTCTATCTGTATATTTATCAATTATTTATTTGGTTTCTAGATAGATCAAAATGTTTACAATAATGCTGAACATACCTTTCCTGTAAGAGTCTATGTAAGTCATTTTTTAAGATTTTATTTTTAAGTAATTTTATACCCAACATGGAGCTCAAACTCACAACCCTTAGATCAAGAGCGGCATACTCCATTGACTGAGCCAGCCAGGTGCCCCATATGTAAGCAATTTTTTAAAGTAACAATTTGGTATTATTATGAATAAATATGTTTATTCAGAGAAATTATAAAGAAAATATGTCATTTTAATCCAATCATTTAATTTAATTATGAAATCCCTAAAGTGTGATGTTTGTATTTCAAAAATTTCACCACCTTATACAGTGCTTTGACATCCTTAGGATAGGATGTCCACACTCTACCCCATACCACCCCCAATCATTAACTTCTTTCATAGCTGCCTAATGGGGCTACCATTTCCTATTTATGTTCCATATATCTGCTAAGATGTTACTTTCTAAACCTCCAAAGTATGAGATAATTTTCCCTTTTATGTACTCCCTTAGCAAAGAGTTCTTTAATTATGCTCACGATTCAAATCTCCAAATGCTTAAACAATTTAATTTATCATCTCCCTGAAACTCACTGTTAATTTCTACAGTATGTCAGATTAGACATCAGAACATAAGGAAGTATGTGAAGTTTTAAAGAGAAAAAAGAAGGATTTAATTTTCAGGAGAGCTAAAATTTTTCTTTGGATCAAATTAGATAGACTAAGAGGAATTGGTAAACTTATTCTGGATTACCAAAGAAGTAAAATAATATCAACGGTTTCCAAGGGTCAGAGAGGAGAAAAGAAAAGAAGCACCATATTATTCAAGAGGTTAAAGCAGTGGATCTCAATCTTAGGATACATTTAGAATTACATTGGGTGACTTCAAATTTTTAACTGTCTGGGACTCATCCCAGAACAATTAAATCAAAATTTCTGGGAAGTGACTAGAGCATCAGTAGATTTTAGAAAGTTCTCATTTGATTTATAGTGTACAGTTGGGTTGAAAATAATTGAACCATATTATTATGGGAAATTCAAACTCAACAAAATTTACTGTTATTGTTCCAAGCTTCTGTAGATCAAAGCCTGTCATTTAAAATTCTGTCATTACATTAAAATTTTGTTAAGTTTGTTTATTTATTTGCTTATTTGCTTATTTATTTATTTAGTGTGTGTGTGTGTGTGTGTGTGTGTGTGTGTGTGCGCACGCGCAAGCAGGGGAGGGGCAGAGAGAGAGAGAGAGAGGGAGAAAGAGAGAGAGAGACAGAGACAGAGACAGAGAATCTCAAACAGGCTCCACGCTCAAACTCACATGAGATCATGACCTGAGCAGAAATCAAAAGTCTACCACTTAACCGATGCTCCTGTCATTAAATTTTCTATAGCTTTTCTCCCCTATTCTTCCCTACAATATCCATTATCTTTCTTCATCAATGGTACTAATAGAAATTTAAAGTTTATATTATATATTAATATTTAAATATTACATCAAATAATTGATTCTTCTAATATGTAAATAAGCAGCATTGAAAATATTAATACAGTAATTTAAAAGATAATTCTGAATAAACAATCCAATAATCTTACTGGAAACTGTTCATATTGTTCACGGTCTATACTTCGTGTACAAAAGATATCTCCTGTGTCCTTATCTATGTAGAACAGATTGAAGGGCTCTTTGTCCACGCCTGGTCCACTTATGGAGTAAAAGATGGTGTAGTTCTGTGCCGCATCAGATTGGACCTATAACAACAAGTGACAACTTAGAAAAAGAACAAATATGTTATGAGAAATATCTTCAACCTAATATGTTGCGATGTTTCAATTTTTAGCACTTCCGCTCTTTCCTATTCACCTATTCTTTCTTTCCCCTGCTTATTTTCTCATCATCTCCCATGTGTTTTAAAATTCTTATTCATCTTCTGTAATGCGCAAAGCCACAAACTCAATCGTCTATTGATCCCAAGTTCTTTTGAGTTATCTGCATATTTATGGAAAATCTTGGAGTTATACCTTTACAATTCTTATTCACTTAATTATTATTCCTATATAAAGTATAATAACAATGTCAGTGGTTTGAGTTATTTGGAATGGAAACTTCTCTGACAAAAAAATAGAAATAATGCAACTTTCCTCCCACAATTAATTCATAATTTCAAAGCTGGTCTATTTTTACACTCTAGCTATCTGGCAGTGACGTCACTTTTTGGTAAACAAAAATACTGGTCTTTTCTGTGCAGATAACTATTATTTATTTATTTAAAGACTTTATTTTTAAGTAATCTCTACACATAATGTGGGGCTTGAACTTACAACCACAAGATCAAGAGTCACATGTCCTACCCACTGAGCTAGCCAAGCACCCTGGATAAGTATTAATTAAAGGGACAGTTGAATTATGCAAAATCTGTTAGGTATGTCTCCTAAGAATGTTATATTCTGGGGGAGTACTCAGGAGTATCTGGATATAGACCTAAAAGCATCAAAAACTCAGTATCTAAAACTTGTTTTTAAATGTTAACTATGATTTCTGGAGGAAAGTGACAAAAGACATGGATTCTTTTCCAGTTCTGGTGAATAGATGATCCTTATTAACACAAACAGGTTAAAGCCTTGATTCAATTCAAATGGAAAGTTTTAAAAATGAACAAGCAAAGCCTAACTAGGGAAAATGTACCTGCTGAACATGTTGCGGAAATGGACCTAATGAGTTCTCCATCAGTGAACAGGGAATAGGGGCCCATCGTCTCTTGCTGCGTTTGAGAACTGCGTCTTTGGTGTGTCTCTTCTTGGGAATCTGCATGCAATGAGACATGGAGAAATACCGTGCTGCCTATCATCAGGAACTGTGGTTTTCACACATACATTAACATGAGGAAAATAAGTAAGAGTTGTACATGACAAGATCACGGGTAATACCCACACCATTTCTGTTTTGTATTAATAAGATTCATATACACACATACAGATACACATAAGAACCAGTTTCACCTTGATTTAGTGGGTTAATCAAACAGCGCTTTGTAAGGCATGGCGAAAGATGCCATCTTGAGAAGTATAAACTCCCTAAAAATAGGTAATCTGTTAACAAATATCTAAAAATTAATTTTATTCCATTAGGAATGATACAACCAACATTTGTTAAAACACTAGCTACGCTGCAAAGCATTTGTATAGAGAGACAGAGGTCAGCATTTGTTCAGGTATGTTTTGTTTTATGTGATGTGAACACTCTCCAATATGAAATAATGTTTTACAAGGCTTTTCCTAAATTCGTAATATATATAATGTGTATTAATATGTAAGCATATTCTAAATTTGGTGAAGAATTCTTGTAATCCAAAGGAATTTAGCTAGGGGATTCTCTCATATCAAATCACTTATTAATAAATTATTTCATAAAGCCCAATTCATTGGGCAGAATTTGATTAAAATGAGATTTATGTGAATTTCAGTAAACTCTCCCTTCCTACTCTTTGATCACTACTACTCACTTCAAGAAAATGAGCCTAGAGCCAGAACATTCAAACCAGTCTTGTGGACTGGCTATACTTCATTCTCTGAGGAAAGGGACCCCGAGGAATTTTCTATTAAATTGAGAGTAAGCTTTAGACAATCTCTTTAAAGAGACTGAACCCATAGTCGCTTGGGAGAAAGCCATTCAAGGTAGAGTGCCACACCTCCAACCTGAATCCATTTCCACTGAGTTTTAGACTCACCCCTGCGTGTTCTTCAGGTTGGTTGTTCTCATAGCCACACCTCAAACCACCATCTGAAACCTTTGATTTGATATTCTGACTTTGCTCCCCAGCTCCCGAGCTCTTCATTTTTACATCATTTTGCAAATAGCTCTACCACTCCTTAAAACAGTCTAGTCTTTACATAAGTTAATTAGAAGTAAACAAACAAGCGAGTGTTAAGAAATGATTTTAAAGTGGAAGAAAATCTATGAAATGAAGAGCTCTCATAAAGCAGATCATTATGCTTAAGTCTTGGCCTATATACCTTCTTTTCTTTCACATCCAGTACAATTTCTATCTCTTTCTGTTCCTGCCTCTGGTCATCTGAAAGAAAAACGTAAAAGCTCCTCCGTTCAGAAGACAAAATGAGGTCGTGTGTTGTGTAAATGGAGCCATCTTCTAGAATTCTGAAGTCCGGGTCACTTGACCAGATTAAGTGGGCTGACTGGAAGCATTCTTTTGGATTCACTGTAGGGAAGAAATTCGTAGTAATTTGTAAGATAAAACAGGAATAGAACAAGTTTTACAGGAAAGGCAACTGGGAGTTAGTGCTTGAGAAACAGAAAGAGGGAGGTTACGCTTGGAATTTGTTGAGTACCTACTATTATAAAATTTAGGGGCTATGGAAATTAAATAATTAAATAAATGGAGTCATCGTTTCTCGTATTTTCATCATAAATTAATTTGTGAATAGATATAAAGTACTTTGTTAGCATTCCTAGATTTATTGTTTCCACTTTAACTCTTGTTTATGGGTTTGTACATATATATACAAACAAATTTGTCATTTTATATGTAGTATAACTATATGATATCAGTAAATTTGGAACTTGTTTGCAATAATCTTTGGTAGTTAAAACTACCTTGCAATAAGTAGGAAAACTAGTCTATAGTTTACTAAGTATTACTTAGTACATATTAAGTACTAAGTACTAACAACCACATATTGTGTTTGTTATCAAAATACTTCCTTTACAGATTCATATTTAACATATTTAGCGTATTTGCTATGTGTCTATAAGGTATAGACTGTATATCTTTTTAGTGTTTTCAGGTATAAGGCGGTGGATTAATTTAAAGCACTGGGCAAAGCAATGTTTGTCTTGGAAAGGATACCAATTCTGTATTGAAGGTGTAACCTTAAGGCCAATGAAAAACCTTGCTGAAAGGAATGTGAGCCTTGGACCACCAACCTATGCTTTAGGGACTGCTGTGATAGTAAGACTTGTTGCAATTTTGACTTTCACAAGCTCTTCGGTGTCATAGATCACAGATCACAAATTCTTGGTGAGTATTTGTTCGTTATAATCAACCTTAAGCACAAATATTATGTGGGGGCATTTAAATTTTGACACATTGGTTTCATAACAAATGTTATAAAGCGTTTGTTTTATATCTAATCAATTAAAGAATGACTGGCTTTGGAATTTTGGCAGCAGATTAGCTGATATGGATTAAGATATGCTACTGGTTTTGGTGCCTTTTTCGTTTGAACTAAGCTAATTTAGAGCTTTGATGTTTGCTAACTTTTCTGTCAAGAAAAGCATACAACTAACTTGGTACCTTAACTGTTTCTAACTACTACCAAAAAAAGAGTAGTCCATCTTTCATTTTATGTTGAATTTTAATGCCAAGTAGCTACTACATGGCTTTATCACAAACTTTACTGGAGTACCCTGAAGCTAAATGTAGCTGTGAAAACTATGAAATTTTTAATACTGTTTCTCACCTTTGCCTACAAGTGTTTCAGCCTGAAGATGAGAAGGAACTTGAAGAGAAATTTTCTGGCAAGCATCGCAAGATAATATTACAACCTCAAAAAAGAAAAGAAAGTAGGAATTACTTGTGATCACAAACTTTCAAGTTACAGTTTTGTCTTACTGATAAAAATAATGTCAATTTCAGAAATAAATTTATCTTCTAGTCTTTCAGCGGTTTTCATATTGATTTTAAAAGGGGAGATCAAAGGAAATGGCTTTAGGGGCACCACAGTCATTCAGTATCAACGAAAAGTTAGAGTGAATAGTAGTTCTTAAAACCCAAATCATATTATATCATTTTTAGAAAGTGGCTACTAACCATTGACTTTATATAGAGGTTATCATCTCTAAGGCCAATCATAAACATTGTGATTTCTTAGCATGAAGAAAGTACTTAACTTCAGAATTTAATGATGATGGATTATCATCATTATTTATATTGATATTTTTTATATTTATACACAAATTATTTCCACAGAACTACACAATTTGCAGTTATAGTTGATTAAGGCTAGAAACTATTTGAGGATTTTTTTTTACCTTGTAAAGGACAGCACCCACAAATATTCACTCATCTCAGATCTCTCCTGGGACTGGCTTGGCATAAACGTCAAAGATTAAATGATCTCAAACCAAAAAACTAGCTTCAAAAGAAATATAATTTAAAATACAGAGAGTAGCCTTCAATAGGGTAAAGATCTGTAATTAAATTCAAGACACAACTATTGTTTTAAAATGCCAGGTAGTCAAAGGAAAGAAGACAGATGACCTGGGGGAAAAAGTTATTAGTTTAAAAGTATTATCAGGTTCAAAATATAGTTTGTTTCTTTTTCTTCACATTTTGTATTTTTTGCCTTCTGTTTATCAAAATGACTGTTTTTTGATTGCTTAAATACAAAATAGAGCAGAGCTAGATTTCCCCGGAAACAGGTCAATTTTATTATGATTTTTTTTCTGAGGACATATTCTAGTTATGGGGACCTATTATTTGGGAAAGAGAAAGAAGGCATTATCATCCATACTTGGATATATTTCATCAGCCTATTTAAATAGTTTGTAGTTTATGAAAACTCTGTTTAGGCAAATAATACCAAAAACTGAAATTTAAAAGGTCACATTTGTACCCAGTTTAAGTAATTAATTAGTTATATTAATTATTTTAGCCTCCCTGTCATGTTTTTACAACTCCCCACATTTTCCTTCCCGGGATGTAGCAGTAGGCTAATCATGTAGTCACACAATGGTCTTTCTGTTTCCAGGCCTCTCTTCTAAGAGCTTGCTAGCTACTTAACAGGAAAAACCACACCTGCCTTTTTCTCTGGTAAAAACTCAGTGCCTAATACACGGTAAGTATTTAAACAGAAGACATTCTTATTTATTTGACTTTTTACTCTTCCTTAATGTCAAGGAATAAACTACATTGTATCTCGAGAACTTTCGGAACATAAACAATTTATTAGTAATGATCTAAATATATGATGTAGAAAGAGTATTTTATAATTGACAAAATATATGTGTATATATGTGCACACATCTGTATATGTAGATGTATGTGTTTACATGTATACACATATGTAGCCTGTATATACACACACATTATTCTCATAGGATATGGCTACGTCCCTACTCCCACAACCATCTTCTTTCCTTCCTGCCTTATGATCCCCGCTTGTTTGCTTCTGGCTCCGTAAGCAGAGCCAGTGGAGGTCACCGGAAGTACTATTCCAGTCTTCAAGTTAAATTAGCAGCTTAATGGTTTACAGGGAGCTGGGGTCAGACACTTTTAGTTATTATGGGGGTTAAGGATGAATGGGCAAAGGATGATTCAAAGGTTAGTGGACAGAGAAGAGAACAGAAGCAAAAGAAATCTAGATGAGTCCCGCAGAAATCATTCACTGCGGGGCGCCTGGAGGGCTTAGTCGGTTAAGCCTCCGACTTTCGCTTAGGTCATGATCTCGCGGTTCGTGGGTTTGAGCCCCGCGTCGGGCTCTGTGCTGACTGCCAGCTCAGAGCCTGGAGCCTGTTTCAGTCTGTGACTCCCTCTCTCTCTGACCCTCCACTGCTCACGCTGTCTCTCTTTCTCTCTCTCCTAGAAATAAATAAAACATTTTTTTTAAAAAAGAAAGAAATCTTTCACTGCATTTTACCTGGTTCTAACTCAAAGTGGTCTCTGACATTATTGTTGTTGCCTCCTCTAGGCAGTTACAGAATGAGAATTTGACCATCAACCCTGCATCACATATTTATATGGAGAAAATGTTTATTCCCATACAGTAAAATCTTTAAATTCTGAACATAAAATGTGAAGCTAAAATACAGAGAAAGAAAGAAAATTCACAGCTCAGAAATGCCAGCCAGAGCTATGGGACAAGTCCCCTCTCCTTCCTCCCCACCAAAGGAAAATAGCACCTGAGTGCACACTTACAAAGCTATGAATAACCCAAGCGGAAGCCAAGTTCATAGATATTTTCCAATGACTGTCACATTTTTTTTTATTGTTTTTCTCAAGTTAAATCCTTTGCTTGAACTAGGAGTTCTGCACTTCTCTTAGCTTCTGGTGGGTAGAATGAAAGTCCTGGATAATTTGTGTTTGTACCCAGACTTCCTTCTCCTTTTGTTGCAGCTCAGTGGAACTAAGCATGACAAACTACAGCTCATTTAATGGCTAGTAGCAAGAGGAAACCTCAGAACCTTCTGGGACAAATGCCTAAGGAATGAATTCATCCCAATGCTCCTTGGGAAAACACCACAGCAAGACTCAACAGGGGATTCCCATAAAAGACTTCAACATGCTGGCAGTGGACACGTGAAGAATAAACAAAACACCTGCTATCCTGGGTCACAAGTCTCTTAGCTCTTCCTTAGGTTTTTCTCAGATCTGTTTTTGTTTTCTCAGTCTATCTTCTCGGCCTTCCACTGCCACCCCTGCTCTCTTTCAAGCCCAAACTGGAGGGAGGAAGCTCGTAGGAACATGCACGAATTCCTTAATCCTTTGGTTGTTACTCACCAGGAGACAGAAAAGGAGCTGCTTACAGAAGATGCTCCCTGGGGCAGCAGAGGCCACAGCCATCAGAAGTGGTCCCAATGGTCAGGGATGGTGGCTGGATAATAGGGCAGCTAGGGATGCACAGGGCGGCTTAAGCAGATTCCCAATGGCTGGCAATTGTGCAGGGTGTTTCTGCTGCCACCTTGGCACAGCCGAGCGTGGTTTGGAGGAGAGTCAGGAGGGAATTGATAAAAGAGAGATGGAGCAGCAGGAGAATTGCTTTCCTCCTATTCCCAGCTCAGCCTTCCTCCTTCCAATTCAATTACCTCTGAATGTAAAGAGGTTTTCCTACAAGTGGGGAGGGTGGGGTACAAAACACCCCAAAGCCCAGTCACTAGCTCCTCCTCACAGCTTTCAAAATTTCTCCTGCCACTTGACACACAGGCAGAAGTGAGAGGGAACACCCTCCATCCTCAGCCCTCCTCCTTTTCCCCCCAGGTTGATGTTCCCGGTTATTACCCACTCCCACGTCTTCCCCTCCTTCTTCTTGGCCTTATTAACCTGTCTTGCCCCTAGGTACAAAGAGAAATGGTGCACAAACTCCATACATGGAAGTGATGCCTCCTCAGCTGCCGTTTTGGCAAATCAGGGGACATGTGCATGTGTAATCACGGCCATCAGCACTTATCTCCTTATCTCAGCGTTTAGGTGTTGTCTGCCTCAGACAGCACCACAGTTCAGCAGGAGATCTGGCGCTCCAGTCACGGCAGCGACTTCTCTGTGTTTACTCTTTGTCATCGTCTGTCCACCGTGGTTTGGTCTTCGAGGTGTCACCAAGGACTTAGCAGAGTGTATACTGATCTCATAAAAGTTAGAGAATAAAGAGATAGCTGGCATATAATTTGTTACTGCATTCTTTTTCTTCTTACTCATGAGGCAATCTATGCTTTTCCTTGCGTATAACTATTTGGGATCAACTATCTTTAAAATCATTCATCTTAATTACTTACACATTACATGCAGGATATCCTCGCCCAAAAGTACTATATTCCACTGAGTTTAGTTTGCTTCTTTTTTCAAGTTTATTTGCTTTTTAGAGAGAGAGAGAGAAGAAAGGCAGAGAGAAAATCACGAGCAGATTCCAAGCCATCAGTGCAGAACCCGACGTGGGGCTTGAACTCACGAATGGTGAGATCATGACCTAAGCCAAAATCAAGAGTCATATATTTAACTGACTGAACTACCCAGGTGGCCCCATTGATTTAGTCTTTTGGAAACTAATGGCCCTTGCAAGGAGGACCACAGCATCATTTCTCCTGTCACAACTCATTGAGTTCAGTATTGATTGCACCCATCAGCAGCGATGGAAGTTAGGAAAGGAGGGTAAATATTTTCAAATGGTAATTGTTTAATATGGGTATAGAGAAGGAACTAAAATTTGTATTTTCTGAGCCACTGTTAAAAATCAGGACTGTGGCAGGCATTTCAATGAATCCTCCCAATTAGCCCAGTGAGGGCTCCTTTTAGATGATAAAACCATGAGAAAGTATGTGACCATCTTTCACTGACCCAATGATGAGAAGTCAACCCTGGAACTCAGGCCTGACTGCCACCGCCAAAAGGCTATTTTTTTACTCTCTTCTGCTATTTTGATGATAACTATATACATATATGTTGAAAAGGAGCAGAAAGTGATGATCAGGCAAGTAAGTAAGAGTTCAGCCTTGCTCAACAATAAGCCAGGTTGGGACTAGTAAAATGTATTCAAAAGCAATTACAATCTATACCTCTTAACGGCAGTTCATTATTCTTGAATACTGTGGGTACCTGGCCGCTTTTTTGAGAGCCATTCTATAGTCGGGTAAAATGGTTGTTAAACTATTTACGTTATAAATTTTTATAAGTAAAATTACTCTCCTTGCTCCTGCTACTGACATTTCTACCTCGTGTTTAACTGAAAAGTAAAGGTATGGCCCAATACCCATGCTGCTGAGAAAGAAAGTATAAAAGATTTTCTTTTGGTTATTTCAAGTGAAAGCAATTCCTTCCTGCATATAAACATGGGAATAATAATATAACTGCTTCTTTGAAATTAGAGGCTGGGGAGATTTGGGAAATAAAAGACCATGGAACAAGAACTGAGAGATACCTTGTAGTATTTTATTGCCAAAGGTACAGCTACTGATACGTATATTTTGTGTCTGCACTGGAATTTAACTCAGAAAATAAAATCACTTTAACTGGATATGTTAATATTTGATACTTTGGGAGAAAAGAATACAAATACAGAAATAGGAATAATTACTTAAGTATATGTATAGATATACTTAACAAAGGTTATTCTGACTGTGTATGTTTGAGCATGATTATCTAAGTGTATATTTAAATGTATGTATATTTAAACATATTTATCAAATGTATTTTTCAGAAAAAGCTCTATGTTATTTTCAATTTTATGTGTATGTTTGTTATATTTTGTTTTTTAATTGAAAAAAAATTTTTTTTTTTACAAATAGTTTATTGTCAAATTGGTTTCCATACAACACCCAGTGCTCATTCCCACAAGTGCCCTCCTCCATGCCCATTCCCCCGACACCCATCAGTCCTCAGTTTGTTCTCAGCATTCAAGAGTCTCTCATGGTTTGCCTCTCTCCCTCTCTCCCACTATATTCCCCCTTCTTCCCCCCCATTGTCCTCCGTTAAGTTCCTCCCAATCCTCTTATACGTGCAAACATATGATATTTGTCCCTCTCTGCCTGACTTATTTTGCTCAGCATAACACCCTCAAGGTCCGTCCATGTTGCTACACATGGCCAGATTTCATTGTTTCTCATTGCCATGTAGTATTTCATGGTATAGATAAACCACATCTTCTTGATCCATTCGTCCATTGATGGACACTTAGGATCTTTCCATGTTTTAGCTATTGTGGAGAGTGCTGCTATGAACATTGGGGTCCATGTGCTCCTATGCCTCAGCATTTCTGTATCCCTTGGGTAAATTCCTAGCAGTGCTATTGCTGGGTCATAGGGGAGTTCTATTGTTAATTTTTTGAGGAACCTCCACACTGTTTTTCAGAGGGGCTGCACCAGTTTACATTCCCACCAACAGTGTAGGAGGGTGCCTGTTTCTCCACATCCTCGCCAGCATCTAGAGTACTCTGATTTGCTCATTTTAGCCACTCTGAATGGCGTGAGGTGGTATCTCAGTGTGATTTTGATTTGTATTTCCCTGATGAGGAGGGACGCTGAGTGTTGTTTCATGTGTCTGTTGGCCATATGGATGGCCTTTTTGGAGAAGTGTCTGTTCATATCTTCGTTTATTTTGTTTTAATATATGTCTAAATCACCAGCATAACTGAATGACTGATAGCGTAGAACAGTGGTTAAAAGCTTAGATTTTGCAGATTAAGAGTTTAGACTCTACAGCTAGAATACCTGGGTTCAACCTCTCTATTTATTTTTACTAGCAATATACCATTAGGCAAGTTACTTAACAGTTCTGCCTCAGACTCTTCATCTATAAAATGGGGATAATAATAGCTGCTAATCTATAGATTATTATGAGGATAAATGTGATTATACATAGGAAGCACTTTGAACAGTGTCTGGCTCATAGCAAGCACTAATGATTTACACCATGTAATTGCCCACGGGTACAGTACAAAGTTAAAGAGACTGCACTTCAAGTAAAACAAACACAAACTTACTGGAAATCCAAGGTGTCTTATGTAAAAACTATCTAAAGATATACAAACAGATGTATACATGGAACAAACATTTAAGGATCCAATATGGGGCCCTCACCTCTGCCAGAAGATAAGCATCATATACAGAAAAAAGGACAATAGGCATCTTATTAAAATTTTAAAAATGCACAACTTTGTCGAGGAGAGCACAAATGCAGTTTTCTTTCTAGTTCAAAATATAAGGTAAAAGGAGGCACCACAGTAAATATTAAATGACTTAGAAACTTAGAAATTAAGAATAGACATTGAGGGGTGTGTGAGTAGCTCAGTAGGTTAAGCATCGAACTCTTGGTTTCCACTCAGTTCATCATCTCATGGTTCGTGAGTTCTAGCCTCACATTGGGCTCTGTGCTGACAGTGATAAGTCTGCTTGGGATTATTTCTCCTTCCCTCTCTTTCTCTCTCTCAAAATAAATAAATAAACTTTTTTAGGAAAAGAATAGATAATGATTACATTCTTAATTCAGAGTCTTACAGACAAAAAAAGTTATTTAAATATGTAAGTATTGCATAATCTATTTTCTAACAGAAATTTATGGTCATACAGAGAAAGATTTAAATCTAAGGACCCACATGGCCATTACAAGCCTTTAATTTTTAACTTAAAGCATATTGAGAAAATATGTCTTCTATTAATTTTTCAAGAATGTGTCTTATGGAAATACAGTGACAAATTTCATAAGAAGTATTTTTGCACAGCCAACTTGTGACAAGTGCTATTTATGAATAAATTCAAAGCTTCAAAATAACTGCTTACTGATAGAATTATTATCTTTGTCAGGTGACCCAATTTTCTTTTAAAAGACCCGGAACTGGTAGGAATCTGTATACACTGATGAACCCATAACAAGGCGCTTTGTGTTAAACATACATGGCCAAAGATAATAGAAAAGCAAGGGTAAATGAAGGTGTGTGATCTCAATATGAGACAGTAGAGGTGTATGGACAAACGAAAAAGAAGTCTTGGCTGTAGAAAACACCTCGGGTCCATGAGTTCAATGTACTGCAGTGGAAAGCCCCTTAAATCCCTTTGGATTCATAAACTTATCAGGGTAGAATTTCTTGAAAATTAGAAGTAATTCATAAGTACTGACAACTATTGGCAATGATTTCTTAAGCCTGCTTGCACAGAATATAGATTAATTTTCATTAAAAATGACTACTTCTCATTATTATCAAAACTGTTGGCAAACTTATGAAAAAACTGTCAGTATAATGTCTCTGCATAATTTAGAACTCTATTCAGCACTCACATGCAACTCAAACTGGCTTAAGAGAAACAAAACAAAACAAAATAGTTGTAGATAGGGGATATATTAGGTCATGTAAGTGGAAA